CGACTAGGTGAATAGTTTAAATTCCTGTTTATGCAGGTCCTCTTCCACTTCATTTATTGAGTCTGACACTCTGACACTTTTAAATACATACCTTTAATAACTTACAATTACTTAAACTAACTAATGACCAGGAGTTAATTATACAGATTGATTTATCAACATGGATTTGTTTAAAAATAACTTATTATACAAAGATTATTTTCAAATTGGAAGTCTCCAACAAACATTACTAAACTCAACAATCTAGATTTCGGTAATTTGAAAACCAACAACAAAGAAGAGGGCTAATTTCAAAATGCTTATAATATATTTATTTAGTTTAGAATTTTTACTATCTGAAACCTTTTATAAAATTATGATATCTTCACGAAAAATTTTCACACCAAAAAGGACTAAGAATTACAACTTGATTTTTTAGTCTTGGGAATTATTTTCTAAATACTTAGTTTTATTTTGTCGTGATATCAAGCTAACCTTCATTTGTAGAATAGTATCGAGTTTTTTATAAATAATGACAACTTAAAGGGAAATATAGAATGTTTTAACAGATCTTTCGACTACATCCATCTAAAACAGATGCTAAAAATTTAACAATTTATCTATATTTAAAAGTTTAATTTTGAATAACCAAATGTACAAAATTCCATGGTTGAGGACTGCAGAGTGGTTAAAAAATCTGGTTATATTACTTGTATTATAAAATTCACAAATCATGATTAAATTCCGCGTAAATCGAAAATGATTAAAAGTTATCCAATGTGTGAATTTTCTTTTAAATATTTCTTCTTTAACACTATTTTGTTTTGTAAAATTTACAAGCACAGCTTTTTTATTTTTTTTATTAAATTCTTTTGTTCCCGGCAATATTGAGAATTTGTATCATTGCTAAATCAAACCTTCAGATTGTGTAACATATATGTACATTTTTAGGTCATCATTAAAGTGTCATTCTCTGTGGGTAGGGTTGTTAATCGTTTTTATAAACGAACAACTCGTTTTGAACTTTTATAAGTTTATGAATGTTGTCTTGTGTTTTATCGAGAGAAATAACCTGAATGTTTTCTAACCTCAGGGATTTCTGATCTAAGGATTTTCCGACCAAAAAATTAATTTTTTCTTAAAAAGATCGTTAGCGATCGTCGAAAATGGAAACCGACCTAAATTCAACAAAATAACAAGCTTTTTAAAATATGATAGTTTTTCTTCGTCGTTTTTAAACGAAAAAATCGTTTTAAAAAAAGTGAAAACGATCCTTCCCTATTTGTGGATAACCCTGTATTTTAATCGGGGGAAAGAAACCCTAGAATTAGTATTCAAATTAAAAACTCTGTTAAGTTTAGTATTATATATATGAGAAACAACTTATATTCGTTTAAAGTATAAGATTAAAGCTAAAAGGCTTCATATTCTTATTGATTTAGGCAAAAAGGTATTAATTACAGACTTAGAGAATCTAAATTAGCTTAGTTTACACAGTTTGCATAACTGACTATATAATCACTAATTCCTCTTTTCAAAATATTAGAATTTAGGACGTTTCGCGTCTATTTTTCTACTTTTTAAAGTTTCTTTTTCCATTGAGGGGTTCTCCTTCATTCAGTACTTGATAAAAACCATTTCAGTTCTCGCAGATTTTTCTCTTTTTATTGGTGGATTTTAAAATTTCCTTCTAGATTTAAATCTATTGATACAGTGAGAACCAGAAAAGCTTTGAAATAGGAAATAATTTTACAACTAGCTTGTTAAATCACTTATTTAAGGATATGGGTCTGTTCACACTGCACAATTGTCGTGTCTTATGTTCATTGAACTATTTAAAGACACAACTTGAGACTAACAGTCGTCTTTCTATCCTTATTAATCCTATATCGTGTAAAGTCTATAATCAGGAGTGTTGTGTTTCCTCCCTCCCACTTTATATCTAGTGCTGTGCATGACTCTATTATAACCTTTAAATCTAAATGCACTTGTTAATAACAACGCAGAACTAATACAACGATCCACCTAACCTAGCTCTATCTGTAAATAATTACGTCATTCTGTATTGTGATTAGCCTAACTACGCTATTGTATATAAAGGCGCAAAGTTATGTAATTATCTTTAATAACTTAACCTGTAATATAGATATCAAAATAAAGTTTAGCTGCGTCCATACTCTGCTTTGATTACAGTGTGAGAGTAATTGTTTCTTGGTTAGTGAACAAGAAGCATCCTGAATCAGTTTCCTGAAAGATAGATATGGATTGGGATATAAATTGATTGTATCTGTTGGACAGATACCTGAGAATACAGAATGAGCCGGGATTGAAATTGGCTACAGTATTTGTCAGATCCTTGAGTTCTGGATTGAGTTGTATCTGTCAGACAGATACCTGAGAATACAAACTGAAACCGTATCCGGATTGATATTGACTACAGTATTTGTGTGAACCTTGAGTTCTGGATTGAGTTGTATCTGTATGACAGATACCTGAGAATACAGAATGAGCCGGGATTGAAATTGGCCACATGAACCTTGAGTTCTGGATCGAGTTGTATCTGTATGACAGATACCTGAGAATACAGACTGAGCCATATTCGAATTGATATTGGCTACAGTATTCGTGTGAACCTTGAGTTCTTGATTGAGTTATGTCTGTGGGACAGATACCTGAGAATACAGACTGAGCCGTATCCGGATTGATATTGGATACAGTATTTGTGTGAACCTTGAGTTCTTGATTGAGTTATGTCTGTGGGACAGATACCTGAGAATACAGACTGAGCCGTATCCGGATTGATATTGGCTACAGTATTTGTGTGAACCTTGAGTTCTTGATTGAGTTGTATCTGTCAGACAGATACCTGAGAATACAAACTGAAACCGTATCCGGATTCATATTTGTTTGAGTTATATCTGAGTTTGTTTGAGTTATATCTGTGGGACAGATACCAGAGAATACAGACTGAGCCATATCCTGATTCATATTTGTTTGAACCTTGAGTTCTTGATTGAGTTATATCTGTGGGACAGATACCAGAAAATACAGACTGAGCCGTATCCGGATTCATATTTGTGTGAACCTTGAGTCCCCTGATTAAGTTGTACCTGGATTGATACGGGTCTGAAAGCAGTTTTAGGAGAAGGGCATTTACTACAGAGACTAGAACCTAGTGATTGAAAAATAATCGATCCCCATCCCTATCAATCCCAAACCGTGTAGAGTATAGAACCGGAGTGTATTCCCTCCCTCCCTGTGTATATCTGGTGCTGTGTAGAATCTATAATCCAATCCTCTGTAGGCTATCTTTATATTTATATCTAATTTATTGTGTACAACCTAGTAATTGAAGTAAAAAAAATCCATCTCCATCCTATGGATCCATACTTTGTAGAGTCTATGGTCCGGAGTGTGTTTCTTCCCTCCCCCTGAGTACCTGGTGCTGTGTAGAGTCTATACTCCAACCCACATTTTCAAACATATACATGTGTATCTACTTTATTGTGCATAGCCTAGTGATTGAAAAAATCCATTCCCATCCTTATTAATCCAGTGTAGAGTCTATGATCCGGAGTGTGTTCCAATCCTCCCACTGTATATCTGGTGCTGTGTAGAGTATATAATCCATCCCTCCCTCCAGATAATATTTAATTATCCGTCAGTTTGTGTAAACCAGGTGTGGAGGGAGCAGCAGATCCCGTAGAACAGGTGGCAGTGACAGTGAAAACATATTTAATTCCGATACATTTGTATGATGCATGATGCAATCAAAATTAATCCAGGAGACCTTTTTCTAGGTAGGTTGCAACTGTCACACTTAAATTTTGTACAATCAAAATGTGCAATAATAAAAGAGCCTAATGATAAGATTTGAATTTGAATTACATTTTTTTAGTAAAAATCATCTTTTTGTCGATAAAATATTACTATTCTCTTCAAAGTAGCTCCCATGCCTTTTTTAAATTTTAAGTTTGTGTATACTTGCAGTTTTCAGGAGATTTCAGAATGTAATAAAATATGTTTTCCAAATGTAAGATTTCAGAGAGAAAGTTGAAAATGTAATAGAGAAGTTTCAAAGTTAGGATTTTACGATAAAAAAAATTAATACAATGTAATTATTTTAGAATTAAATACAAAAAATGGATTATTTCAAAGCATGAAATTACAATTCGAAATTTAAAAAAGTTAAAATTAAATTATGAGGGAAAAAACATCTTTTCTATAATGTACGTTGTCAGAATGCTTGTTCCAAGTTTAAGAATTCAGAAAGTATTAATTGAGTTCCGAAAGTTCGAGTTCGAAATGTACTATATTTACATATAATATCTGATGTGAGAATATATGATCTATCGTAGCTGTTTTATGGCTTCTGGATAATTATTTCTTGTAATGTATGTAAAAACTGAAAAAAATTACTTGAAAACAATCTTTCCTGAAGATTGCGTTGCATGAAATATAATTCTATGTATTTTTCATGAATTTTGTAGCATTATTAAATAAAAATGAATTTAATTGATTCTTAAAATTTCAAATCGGTTATAATCAGTTACAACTACTCTACAGGGAAAGGAATTTTACTTTACCAAGAGTTCCCAAGACCAATTTTGTCTACGTAATATCCAGAGCGCGCGAGGGATGTTTTGTAGACAAAATTGGTCGAGGGAACCCGATGTTAAGTAAAATTTTCAATTTCCCGAAAAAGTAGCTGTAAACAATTTTATCGTTTATTGAGATGAAAATGCGCGAATTTTTTCCCGAAAACTTTGCAGAGCAGGTGGTTATATTAGATAACTGTCCCTAGGGACGTTAAGTAACCTAACCTCCCTCCTTAGGGGGAATCTTAGGTCGGTAATGTTGGTCAAAAGGATTCATATTTCTTGTTGTGAGTTAAACACATTAGAATTGTTCAATTTAGTTCAAAGGGAGTGTTCGCGAAAAATGAAAGGGGTATAGGCTTAGTGCGATAAAAAAAGTGCTTTTGATCGCTACTAATCTTACTTCTATCTGTGCGTCTATAAGAAGAAAATTGTTAAAGACGTCTCCTACCGAATAACTTAGCGGCCATACAAATTCAGAAAATTGCAACATACGACTTAGACCGTAAAAAATCAATTTAATTTCAAACAAAGCATTCAGATATTACAACCTGTAGTCATCGATTATCTTTCGCCACATTCGTATATAGTTTGTATTTTATAATATTTTTTGATTAATTTGTTTGTTTCTCTTGTCGCTTGCGCAACTATCTAAGAATGCCGAACACCACTCACAATTTTCGAAATCCGTTGAAAACATTTTCTAAGAAAATAAAATATTATAAAATATAAACTATATACAAATGTGGCGAAAGATAATCGATGACTATAGGTTGTAATATCTAAATTATTTGTTTGAAATTAAATTGATTTTTTAACGGTCTAAGTAGTATGTTGCAATTTTCTCAATTTGTATGGCCGCTAAGTTAAGTGTAAATATGAAAACAGGAAGAATACCAAGTTTTATGAACACAGGAAAAGATGCAAAAGTGTATATGTAAACACAGGAGGGATATACAAGTGTTTATATGAATACAGGAAGGATGTACCAATACAAGTGTATATACGAATACAGGAGGATATACAACTACAAGTGTACATATGAACACAGGAGGGATATACAAGTGTTTATATGAATACAGGAAGGATGTACCAATACAAGTGTATATACGAACACAGGAGGATATACAACTACAAGTGTACATATGAACACAGGAAGGATATACAAGTGTAAACACAAACACAGGAAGGATATACAAGTGTACATATGAACACAGGAAGAATATACGTACAAATGTATATATGAACACAGGAAAGATATACAAGTGTATATGAACACAGAAATGATATACAAGTGTATAATGAACACAGGAAGGATATACAAGTGTATAATGAACACAGGAAGGATATAAAAGTGTATATATGGACAAAGGATGGATATAAAAGTGTATATATAAACACAGGAAGGATATAAACTATATTTACGAGCACAGGAAGGATATTCAAGTGTATTTATAACACAGGAAGGATATGCAAGTAAATATATGAACACAGGAAAGATGTAAAGTGTATATAGAAATACAGGAAAGATGTAGTACATAATTACAGAGTGCAGTGTATATATACGAACACAGGAAGGATATACAAGTGTATAATGAACACAGGAAAGATAAACAAGTGTTTATATTAACACAGGAAGGATATACAAGTGTATATATAAACACAGGAAGGATATACAAGTTTATATATGAACACACGAAGGATATACAAGTGTATATGTGAACACAGGAAAGATGTACAAGTGTATATATTAATACAGGAAGGATATACAATTGTATAAACGAACACAGGAAGGATATACAAGTGTTTATGAATACAGGAAGGATATATAAGTGTATATGTAAACACAGGAAAGATATACAAGTATTTATATTAACATGGGAAGGATATACAAGTGTATATATATGAACATAGGAGGATATACAGGTGTATATGTAAACACAGGAAGGATATACAAGTGTTAATTAACACAGGAAGGATATACAAGTGTATATGTAAACACAGGAAGGATATACAAGTGTATATATGAACACAGGAAGAATATACGAGTGTATGTATTAACACAGGAAGAATATGTGTGTTTAATCTTATCTAATCTACTATCCAGGGTTTTTGTTTCTTAACATTGAACAATGATTCACATAGATACATCTTCCTTACTGAGTAAACATTACAAGATTACAGCACCCCAAACTAACGAGAGAGAGAAGCATTCGGTTTCTTTTATTTGAAATCAAACGTGTTTTCGTCTATAACTTAACAGTCTTTAGACTTACAGATTTCTTTGTTTTTTACTTTTTCATTCAAAATGTATATGCCAACAAAAAAATATTTATGATAAAAGGCTATAAAATTATATAAAAGGGGTCAAATTGTGATCGAAAGTCACAGTTTTCTGAGATATTGACAGAACCGTTAAATCCACGTGACAGGGCACTTTGCGCCCCTATATCATAGCTTTTTGCTGCTGTTTTTCTGCAAGTACAATTTCACATATAACAAAAATTTTCCTGACTTTATTGTTTCCAAAATAAAATAAAATTATTTTGCTGCAAAACCTAGAATAAACCTTTTCATGGAATCATAAGAGCCACCAAAAAAATAATTGGGCCTGATCGGTTCAAGTTGGGCTCAATTGTTTTCTTTTATTGGATACAGACCAACAAACAAGCCTGGGGTGAGTACAAAAATAGGGTTTGTGTTGTTTTACAAAACACTAAAAAATGTTTATTGAAATAAAGTGAACCAAATGCAAAAATACTATTCTTAGAAATCGATTTTAAAATGTTTTTCAATCATACTCCAAAGTTTCATAGTCTTTTGATAAAAATCAGTACAGCGTTTGGACTTTCTCTAATACAAAATAATAGTTTTCTAAAGAAAAATCAATATTTAAGAATGAGAAGAACGATAAAGATACGCAAACATGGGACAGACTTTGGATATATAGGGCTGAAAGTTACAGTTACATAAATTATTATTTAGCATCAGATGAATTCCAAACCTTGAGTAAAATGAGAATGATCGAAGGGTCTAGTTAACACCATCAGTCTATTAGTAAATTCTAGTAAATATTAAAATTTCCAAAATCGGCAAAAATGGTCCACGCAAGAATACTATTTATAAAATCAATAGACACTTGATCGAACATCTGGAGTTGATCTTTCTTTCTCCTACCGTCTTCATCTCTTTCTACTTCTTTCTCAGTCTCTTAAACAACCACAGATGTACACAATGTACACAAGTTTTTAATCACTTCTTGAATATCGATCAAGTTGTTTTTGATCAGCCATAGTATTCTTCCGCAACCAATACGGTTTTTTGGGACACCTGTAGACAAAAACATAGTTTTTAGTTACCCAAGCCTTTTGAGGAACTGTCTCAGTAATTTTAAGAAATAAAGCCTAAAAGATTGGTATGTCGGATTCACAACGGTGCAATAAAACCTCTATCTGATTGACACTGGGGACAATAGTGTCGTTACTTTATTTTAAACGATTTAAATACCAAAATATCTTATTATTGGCTCTTTAGCATAAATCCGTCAGTCACTTTACCAGAGAAATAATTATTTAAAGTATTAATTTTTTCATAGAAACATTCATACTTGATCGTTAGAAGGTACCGTTGTGAATCAGAAATGCCACTCTGTATATGGAGGGTCAATTCAAATTACGTCTATACACTAAAGCAGTAATTAAGAGCACGTGATCTTTACTGCTTTTAATGATGTCTAATTAATGAAATTAAATCAATATATCAACTGGGGCAGAACCTATCCATTAAATACAGGGTGTCCCACATCATATTAGATCGTTTATAGCTTTAAATTTCTATTTTCAGGACTAAATCAGAAAATTTTAAATTTAATGCATCATTTTTAAAATTTGTATAAGGCTAATATAAAAATTTGCACGCAGAAAATACTAGGTTTTCGAGTATTATATCTGCGATATGCGATTAAATATAATCTATCTCATACAAAATAAAGATTCTAAAAAGGCAAATGCAAGTATGTATGTAATATATAGTCATTACTATTAAGACATCTGACCGTTTTATTCATTGAAAACATCACCTTAAAGTTGTTCATTATAAAGGGACTGAAATTTTAATTTCAAATGACACATGCAAACCTAACGGTACCCTTGAAACCTTTCTCTGATCAATATTGTGAAAGATATTGCCGTTTTTCTAGGTTT